AGACCCACATGGCTCGCTGCCTCACCTCCTTCCTCTTCTGCTCAGAGGTCACCTCCTTGGCGAGGTCTTCCTTGTCACTCACTTTATTTAAAATTGTAGAGACTTCCCAGGTAGTCTCAGGGTTAGGACTCTACACTTTCACTGATGAGGGCCCGGGTTCATTCCCTGGTCAGAGAACTAAGATCCCACAAGCTGCTTGGCTCATTCAAAAGAAAAAACAAAACTTCAGCCTCCCTCCAATCCCCTGCACCCCAATCCCTCATCCCTCCCTGGTGTTATTTTTCTCTGTGGCACTTACCAACAGACTATATGTTACTTCTTTCCTTTTTATCCTCTTCCTCCCTGGAACATGAGCTCCTGAGGTCAGGAATGGCTGGCTGTTTTGTTCAATGCCCCATCTCCAGTGCCTAAGACAACGTCCAACATGTAGTAAACCCTCAAAAATTTCTTCGTTGGGTGGACGGAGGATTTGCCTTTAGGTTTGATGCTCATAACCACAATACACTGTGTTCAATCCCCCACATTAACTATTCTATGTACCCGACAGTGCTCCCGGTGTGGCCAAGAGTCCAAGACCAAAACAGGTAAAATCACTTGGCAAGGGTCCGTGCAAAGAGATCACACCCTCCACCTCTCCTGCCCCTGCTGGCATTCAGGCAAAAAACCCCTCCTCTCTAGGGTCTGTTTGGCTCAAACAGACCCCAGGCCGGCCCCTTCCCCTCCATTGCCCTTTTCATTCCCATGTCACTCCCCTGCTTAAAATCCTCCAACGACTCCAGGATTCCACCTTGTAACCTCCCCACCAGGGTTTTTCATACAGTGAGCGGACCGTGGAGTCAACCAGCCTTTTTCAGTAGTCTAGAGAGGATCAGAGTCAGGGCACATAGTATAGACATAGTATGGATGAAGGTACAGGAGAAGTATGATTTCAAGAAACTTTTGTCTCAGTGTGTTATGCATTGGAATCATGATGGCAATGTGTTTCTTACTGTGGGTCAAAATATTTTGCCAAACCCTGCACTACACAGACTGCCTCTCGTAAATCCCATGCACAGACTGGATGGATGATGTTAATATCGGCTTAGATTTCTCTCTTGGCTGGGACCCATGCCAAGTGATTTTACCTGCTTTCGTCTTCGACTCTGAGCCACACTGGGAGCACTGTTAAGACTCCAGTTGACCGATGGTGAGACTGAGGCTCATACTGGAGAACACTCAAGTCTGAGGTCCCCAGGCTGGGAAGAAGGAGAGCAGGGCTCGGGTCCTAGCCAACCTCCCTCTTGAGCCTGCCCACTTGCCCTCTTGCCCTGCCCCTCCCAGTCTCTTCCCCACTGACCTGAAGAACAACTCATCTCCAGAGCCCGTCAAATTCTTCAACACTCCATCCAGCCATACTATTTGAACCCCCATTTTACAGGTTGGAAAACTGAGGCTAGAAAGCATTTCCAAGAATCCACTCTTTTCGAGTCAGGAGAGATAAATGGCTAAGGAAGCATCTTTGACTGCCTGGCTTCAAATTACCTGCTTCAAAACTTTGTAGCTGTGTGATGCCAGGCAAGCTCACTGAGCCTCGATTTCCTTTTCTGCAAAATAGGACTGATGATAATACCTACCCATGAAGCCATGCTTAAGACTTAAATACGTTGGGATTTGTGCAAAGTTCTTAGATCAGTGGCCACACACCTTGACTGGGAATCTTCCCAACTGCCCTGTGTAATTGGACTGATATCTTCCCCCCAATGTTGTCACAGAGAAGAGGAGGTTCCTGCCTGAGTTAGCACAGCTAGGAAGTGGGAGAGTCAGAATGTGGATGCAAATTTGCCTGGGCTTTTAACCACTAAGTCAGAATAGTCCTTCAAAAAAAAAAAAAAAAGAATAGTCCTTCAGAATGTGAGCATCAGCAGCAAGAACATTTTCCAAATTAAGGAACAGGAGACTCAGAGAGGGTAAGGACATGCCCAAGCCACACAGCAGGTAAATGGTAGAGCCAGGTTTCAAAGCCAGGCTTGTGTGTGTCCAGCCCAGGTTGACCTTTGTCCCATGAGCCCTTCCATAAAGCTCTGATGGGGCAGGAGGACAAAGCTAGTTGAGATCTGCCCTCACCTGCAGCTCTGTCCAGGGGTCTTATAGCCCTCCTTCTACAGCCTAGGGTGAGTGCTTCTCTAAAGGGTCTAAGGTGAGGTCACTGGGGTGGCACGGATGACGGCAGAGGGTGCAACAACCCCCTCCACCGGCCTCTGATTGGGGCCCTGCAATCCCCCAGGATTTGGTGCTTGGAAAGCTGACGTTAGGTTGCTATGGCGATGGGTTTGGGGTGGTTGCCATAGCAGCAGAACTAGCCTGGGTTTAAAAATATCTAGGAGGAGGTTTGTGTTTGTGTGTGAGTGTGAGTGCGTGACCGACCGTGCTGTTGTGTGTGTCCAAACGGGAGGGCTTGTGGGGGGTGTGGTGTGGAGCTGCAACTGCAGGCATGACTTGAGGGTGGGGGCTGAGCAGAACACAGAGCTGTGTGTGTTACGAGTGTCGCTGAGTAGCCTGTGAGGTCCCGTGCATTTTGTGCTTTAGTCTACATGGGCTATGTATCTAAACGTGCATGATTCCCCAGTTAGTGTGGAAGACATAATTGAGTCTGTTTGTCAGTCTGTATATCACATGTCACTAGCATGTATGCCTTATGTAACATAGGCTGTGTAGGTCTTGTGGTTTTGATCATATCCTTGTAACTTCTCAGTGTGTGTGTGGCCAAGTGTGGAGTTGTTTTGGCTCTGGAGTTGTTTTGGCTCTGAACAGGGGCACCTGGGACACACTCAGATATTAGATATGTATCTTTTGTGCATGAGAGCCTGTGGTGTGGCTTTGGGTCCACATGAGTGAATGCACATTATGTATGATGGGCATCTGTGTGTCAGTGTGTGTGTGTGTCTATCTTCTGTGAGTCTTCATATATCAGAGTGTGCCTGTGTCAAACTGTTGAGTGTGCACCTGCGTGTCTGCAGGGGGGCCCTGTGTGACTCTGTGTTGGGGGGAACTTCACATCTGACTCCATGGATGCTGGGGTATATATACCTGTGTGATGTGAGTATATGTGGCCTGACGGGTCAAAGGTGTGGATCTCTGCCTGACCCCAGTATCTCCCTGCATCCCCCTGCCTCTTCCCTGTCTCCATGGCAACCAGCTCCTCAGCTCCCTCCAAGAAGATGGAAGGGGAGGATCCAGACTGCAGTGGACCACGACCCCCTCCCATCCCCCTTGGCTCTGGGGACAATGCAGGGGGAGGGGACAGATGGGCGGCCACCCCATCCACCCCAGGCCATCTGCTACCCTCCCCATCCTATCCTGGGGACCTGAGAGCGTGGCAAAGGAGGGACAGGAGTGGGACAGAGCAGAAGGAGGGGGCCCCCCAGCTGCCACAGTTACCCCCATTCAAGCCCTCTCTGAGCCAAATCTTGCCTCTGGCTGACCTAGGAAGGAGAAAGAATCCTTGGAGACCAGAAATCCAGGGAGAAGAAAATTCATGTATCAGACAAAATCAAATATTAGCAATGATTCACTCTCAGGAAGGGGCCCCTACTTACAGTGACTTTGGGCTCTGAAATTAAGCTTGTCCTGTGCTTTAATCCCAGTTTTCCCTCTATCTACCTGTGTGTCCTTGGACAAGACACCCTCCACGTTCCTGTGCCTCCATCTTGTTATCTGAAAATCAGGTTTTCTTAATGCCATGTATAGTAATACTCTTTCAGGACCCAAACTGTTTCATTCCCTGTTGTATCCCAGTGTTTGGGACAGTGCCTGACATTTGGAAGGTTTGTTAAATGCTATCGATTGGACTGATTGTCAGTTGGGTGCTAGGATCAGCGCTCCGTGTTTTAAGTCAGGTGCCCATTGACTCAATTCCCTGAGCCCTTGAAGTAACTTTGTTGATTCTTCAAGTGAGAGATGAAAGATTTGAGGAACAATTTCACAGCTGTCAGGGGTGGGAGACATGTGAAGCAAGCTTTCTTATCGCGACCAAGTGATATCCGGTGACTGAGGTTCAGTTTCCTCATCAGTAAAATGGAGATAACAGGAATACCTCACAGAGTTGGTTGCTGTAAGATCAAATGTTTGTGACGTGCTTACTGAGAACCAGACCTGGCACATGGTAAGTGCTCAATAAACGCTCATTACGGCGAGGGGTGGGGAACGTGTGGAGGAGCTCAGGGTCCTTATTGTAGCCTGGTCCCTCTTGTGCCTGCGGGGAGGGGCGTGGTCAACCTAAGGGGCGTGGTCCAGGCTTCCAGGGCAGACCAATGGGGCGCCGAAGGGCGTGGCCCTGACCTGCATGGGCGTGACCTTGCGCGGGTGGGAGGGGCCAGGCCGCTGTGGGAGTCTCCGGGAAGAAGATGCTCGGGCCAGCAACCACCGCCAGCCCAGCCGCCGCTGCCGCCCGCGCTCGCCACCCCCCGGGTCCCCACTAGCGGCCGCCTCCGCCTCCTACCTCCGGCCCCGTTCCTCCGGCCCCCCGCCCCGGGCAGGGTCTGGGGGGCTCGGCCCTCTGCCCGGGGAGCAAAGAAAGGGGTCCCGTCCCCTCCAGTGGCGTGGCCAGTCCCCGGCCTCTGTGATCTTGCGACAGACCCCACCCCTCAGTTCTCTCAGGGCCCTCTCCGAGACCCCCTTTTCCCTCCCGTCCCGCTCACATCCGCTCTCCGGGCTCTGTCAGCCCCCCAGAACCAGCTCCCTCCCTTCTCCCCTCTCCGGGGTTCCCCCTCCCCCATCCCGCCGCCGCCGCCCCCTCCCCCTCCCACATCCCCTCCCCTCCCCCTCCCCCGTCCCCCCGCCCCCCCCCCACCATGAGGATGATGGCCGCCGGCGCGGTGCACGGCCTCTTCACGGCCTCCGCGGCCCCGCAGCCGCCGCCGCCCCCGCCGCCGCCGCCGCCGCAGCCCCAGCCTCCCCAGCAGCCGCCGCCGTCGCCGCCGCAGCCGCCGCAGCAGCAGCAGCCGCCGCCCCAGGCCCCCCCCATGGAGCCCGAGGCCCCGGATTCCCGCAAGAGGCCCCTCGAAACGCCCCCCGAGGTGGTCTGCACCAAGCGCAGCAACACGGGAGGTGAGAAAGGGCTGCGGTTCGGCGTGGGGGAGCGGGCAGGGGGCCTCGCCTTTCTCCACCGTCCTCCCCCGCAAATGGCAGGTGCAAGGGCTCAGGGGAGTGGAAGGGCGCCCCTCCCTAGACTGGGGAAAGGAGAGGGGAGTTGGGGAGGGAACCGGCCCCCTTCCCCCTCTCACCGCGAGCCCCGGGCCCGGAGCTTTGTCTGCGATGAGAGGGGCTGAGGGGGAGGGGGTGGTAAGTGTCCTTGGGGGCGCGCGAAGGATGGGGGGCGTGGGTCCCTCCGAGCGGGTGTCTCTGTGTCCTTGAGGGGTGTGTGATGTGACCGTTTCGGGGCAGGGGTGTCCCCGACCTGGCGTGTCCTGGCGGGGGGAGGGGAAGGAGCTGAGGAGGCCTGTGGACCCGGAGCCTCCCCGGGGATGTCCTGAGCCAGGGCTGCGCCCGAGGGAGGCATGTGTGGGCCACGGGCGGGATTGTGCTGGGGACAAACTGGGTGCGTGTGTTGGGTGACATGGGGGAAATGGTGGGTGTGGAAAGCTCAGTGAGAGAATGTGTGGTCGGGACAGGTGCGTGTGTGTGTTCATGTGTATGTGTGTGAGCCCTGGGCCTGGATGTGTGACATTAGGGATCATGGATATGACAGGAAGAAGGGTGTGTGTGTGTGTGTAAGAGATGAAAGGGGCTGGGCTTCATGTTTGAGACCCTCGGAGGGGTATGTGTGACAAGTATGTGCATGTCACCCCAGAGGGGACTGTGGAAGAGTGTGACACATGAGTGAGAGGGTCTGTGTGACATGCAAGGGGGTGTGTGTGGGCTACCAAATGGGCCGGCTCTGGGTATGAACCATGAGAGGCCGTGTGGATGAGAAGGCGGCAGTTCAGTGTGTGTGACACAGGCGTGTCCTGGGTGGGGTGGGACCAGGAGAAGCTGGTGAGGGTGTATGACAAGAAAAGAGTGTGGGTGTGACTCCAGAGAGGCTGTGGCTGGGTGTGACACATGGAGGTGTGCAACGGTGACATCAGAGGGGGTGTGTGCAACAAGGGAAGGTGGGTGTATGACGGGGGAGAGGCTGGGTGAAATTCACGAGGGTGTGTAACAAGGAGAGGGAAGGATGGGGGCCCATGTGACAGGGAGCAGGAACGTGTGCATGTGACACCCAAGGGGTGTGAAAAGGGAAGGTCTGTGTGTGACACCCGAGTGTGTGTATATGTGTAACGAGGGGTTGTGTGTGAAATGGTTGGCGTGGATGATTCTCTGTGCGTATGACAAGGGAGTGTGTGTGTGTGATGGCTGAATGTTTGACAACACAGAGGGGTGTGTGTAGAAGACAAGAGGGACCCTCACTGTGTGTGTGAGAAGAGGTATGTGGACCAGAGAATAAAAGCCGAGCTGGGAACTCTAGGTGTATGTCTGCCCACGGGTTAGGGTTTGTCAGGGTACTCAGAGAGCCCAGCCCATTAGCTCCCTGGAAGGAGGGAGACCCCAGAGCAGACATGCCCCTCCCAGCGGTCACCTTGGCCAAAATCTTAACGCTTCCTCTGGCCTCTTCCTCCGGATGGGAAAGGGGTGGCCTGGGGCAGAGCGCAACTCTTCTAGTGGGTGCGGTGGGGACCTCCCACCTCCTCTCCTCAGATGACGGGGAGCTGAATCTCTTCCTCCCATCCCAGCCCCCTGCCACCCCTGTCCAGGTGAGATAGGAATCAGGGAACCCCTGGCTGCCTTTGAGGGTGTCCAGCAGAAATTGGAGGAAAGGGAAGTTGGGGGAGGGGTGGGAGGGAGTTTCCTGTCCTTCTTCCTGCTCCCCCACCCCCAGCACACGCATGAATGTGTCCCGGCCACTTCCTTGCCTCCTTCCTGCCTCACTGCCATTCCCAGTCCTGGAGAGGGTCGGGGACCGAGGTGGTCAGCCCTGAGCCCAGTCTGGTGGTCCAGCCCCACCCCTGCTGGGGGGAGGGAAGAGATCTCATCCCTGTCTTCTCTTAAAGGGGCTGAAATGTTCACAATCTGAGCAGTCAGAGCAAAACAGCACCATTTAACAGTGATGCTGCCAAGGACGGTGAAGTCCTAGCGTTTGGCACCTACTACGACTCAGGCTCGGAAACGTGGGGAAATCTCCCAATACAATCCTCAGGGGAGATGATTTGAGCTGCTTTTTCAGATGAGGAAAACTGAGGCTCAGCGAAATGAAGCCACTTGTCTGAAGTCACCCTGCTCATAAGTGGGGGAACCGGGATCTCTCCAACCCTGGGTTGCCTGGTTCCCATGTGCTCAACCAGCCCGTGTGTCCTGCCTCCTCCAGCAGGGGGGAAACTAGGGTGGACCCGTAGGGACCCTGCCCTCCCGACTCGTCCACCTCCGTCTGTTGGCCCAGGGGAAACTGAGGCCAGGAGACACGAAAGGACAGTCCTCCATTTACAGAAATGCTCAGGGGCAGGGCTGGGCAAGCGTCCAGGACTTTCCATCTCAAAATTGAGGGCTCCTTCCAATAATACTTTCATGTCTGTGGGATGCTGGGTCAACCTCACTCCTTATCTGAGCTTCAGTGTCACCATCTGCCAAATGGGGAAATAAAAATAATCAGAATGATGATAGTAGCTAACAATTTTATTGCTTAATACCTTACATGCAGTATTTCATTTAATTCTCCCAACACTCTATGATGTGATAATAATAATAATAAATTGTAACAATGACATTTATGGTGCCACAGTACATCAGAAGTATTATGGAAAACACTTGGCACTCACCAATTGTTTAATAATCCTTGCAATCCTATTATGTTACCCATCTTATATGTGACACATTGAGGCACAGAGAGGTTAATTAACTTGCCCAAGGTTAGTCAGCGAATAAGAGGCAGAGCCAGGATTTGAACTCAGGAGGCTGGCTCCATCGCTTGAGTAGACACTATAGTGAACCCCATTTTCAGTCGAAGAAACTGAGGCTCAGGGCATAAGGCACTTGCGCAGTAAGTCATTCCAGCCCCAGCAGACTGAACTCCTGCCCACGGGGCTAGCTTAGGGGCTGGTAGAGGAGACGGTGGCTGTTAAAAGCGGCTTCTGGCCACTGTGACTGGCAGGCAGATGTCGTTGGGAGGGAGATGAGGCACTAAGGACAGGCAGGCTTGAACGAAGAGGCTGAGTGGAGACTCTGGTTGGGAATTCATCAGAGAAACATAGTCCCAGTTTGATGGCACAGTAACAAAGAGCATCCCCCTTGAGTACAGACGATAACTCTTTTTTTTTTGGCCATACCATGAGACATGTAGGATCTTAGTTCCCTAACCAGGGATCGAACTCAGGCCCCGGCAGTGAAAGCACAGAATCCTAACCACCAAACTGCCAGAGAAGTCCCACAGATTCTTAAGATGCCACTAGACTGCCCCCTATACACCTGATTGTATTCCCATCTCTGTCACCCCCACATATACAGAAACATCAACTCCCCCATACACATGCACACAGACCTCACAGCCCAACCATAGCTGACACCAGCCAGGCCTTGCTCCTGAGATCCTCGATCTTTAACACAGTTATCACTGAGGTTACTAGCTCTGGAGTGAGAGCCTCCGGGGTTCATTTTGTCACTGTCACGTGCCTGGTGTGTGACCCTTGGGCGCATTCTTTCACTGCTCTGAGCCTCAGTCTCCTCATCTGGAAAATGGGAACCGTAATATCTACCTCTACCACTCCAGGCTGTTGTGTGGGTTCAGTGAGATTGTGTATGTGGGTTCAGTGCCGTTGTGTGAGTTCAGCAAGATGCCTGATACACAGTATCAGGTCTGGCAGATAGTAAGCTCTCAATAAACAATAGCCGTCGTTATTATTATTATTGCTATGGAGAATGTCACGTTCCTGATTCACGATCCACTGGTGATTTGCCCAGAGGAAATCATGCCCCGTCCAGCTCTCTGTTGGAGAGAGCGTCACAGCTCAAAGACAGCATCACACCTCTTGGCATATCATCCCTTCAGAAGCATGTCTCGGTTGTATTATATCTCTCATAAGGATGGGCAGCACCATCATTCACAGAAAGACATCACCCACCAATGTCCCGCCCCTCCTCAGTGGTACCAGCCACACCCCCGGTCTCTTTTCCACCACCAGCATCCTCACACACTCCCAATGACAATATCAGCATCCCACCCCAGCCTCCTCAGACCTCCACAGAACACATCGATGCTTCCACCCCTGCCCCCACACAAGAGCAGGTACCATGAGTACAACACCCCTACTTAGGTTCTGCCCAAACATACAGTCGCCAAAAACCCCACCTCTGCCACATTCACTTCTGTCCTACCTTTGTCGTGAACAGCCCCCTCTCCTGCATCCAAACCATCTTTCACCGTCAGTGCTGAGTAAAAAGTGCCACTCTTGGGAATTCCCTGGCGGTCTAGTGGTTAGGACTCTATTCTTTCACTGCCAAGGGCATGGGTTCAATCCCTGGTCAGGGAACTAAGATCCTACAAGCCATACAACACAGCCAAAAAAAAAAAGAGGGCTACTCTACCCGTTCATAGCACCCCAAATCTCTTGGGTAAGTCAACATTATTTATGGAGGTAGAGTAGTATTGGTTCCTTGTTGGAAGCCTTTATAAGCTTTCCTGAGGAGCAGGGACATGGGAGTGGAGGAGACCAGAAACCCAGAATGACTATAAGAAGGAAAGACAGCCCGATCCCAAGGTGGAAATATTGAAATTATAGCAGAGGGGAACCAGGAGAGCTGAAATTGGCATCTTTAGTTGCCATCCTCTGTAGAGGGAGCAGCTAGCTGGACCCCCAGGGAAAAGCTAAGGGAGTGGGGCAGGGGTGGGCAGGTGGAAAGTGCTGGCATTTTGCTTTAGTAGAAAGAACTTTTTCACAGGCAGAACCTTGGTTGTTCAAACAGGGTGGGATATGTGAGGTCCGGGGGCTTCCGGGTTTGGCTGACGTCACGCGTCTGCTCTTTGCTTGGAGGCAGGCTGGCAGATAGAAGCCTGGCTCCTTCCTGGAGGAGGTGAGCTT